CTGCATCTCCTGCAGAGCCTGTGTGTCAGTTAGACAGAGTCTGCATCCTCCCCAGAGCCTGAGTGTTAGTTAGATGGAGCCTGCATCTCCTGCAGAGCCTGTGTGTCAGAGCCTGCATCCCCCCCAGAGCCCTCGAGTCAGTTAGAGCAGCCTGCGGGCCCACTCCTGTTTCAGCTTTGCTCCTCTTCCTCTGCTCAGCTTCCGTGTTGGCACTTGGAAGTGATTCATGTTGTCCCTGATGGCCGTCAGGGCCACTGAGTGTCCTGCCCTGCCCCTGCCTGAGAGTGAGTCAGGGCAAGCACAAGGCCAGGAACGAGGGCCGGGGAAGCTGTTGCTGTGGGTGGGGCCTTTATCCCCACCCCCATCACCCCCCCTTGCAGGGTCCTGGCCCAGCTAGGATCAGCTGGCTGAATCCCTGCTCCGTATGGTTACTTGGCTCTGTGGGGTCCCTGGAGCCAGGCAGCTCCCACAGGGTCCCCGTGGCCACGTCCCTGGTCTTAGCCAGCCTCGCCTCTCCCCCAGACACTGGAAGAGCCTCTCATACTGTCCTCTGCCTCTACTCTCGCTCCTGTACCCCCGTTAATGCTCAACTCAGCAGCCAGCATGATCCTGGTGGCGTGAGTGTCACCTGTCAGCTCAGAGCCTGCTTCTCACTCGGACTCCTGTGTCCCTCAGAGTCGGACTCCCAGCCTGCCCCCCCCACCCTGTTTTTCTGCGGGGCTCCTCCGGTGTCCCCCAGCATGCACTCGGCTCTGGCCATGTCCCACGGAAGGGGCTGCTGAGAGCTTTCAGCTTTCACTCCCCTCTGCCTGGGGAGCGCCGCTCCGGTCGGCCCCAGGACGTGCTGCCCTTCTTCCTTCAGCTTTGAGGGAGAAGCCAGCCTTCCTGACCCTGTAGCTTCCCTCCCTGTGTCCCTTCATCGCCATTCCCTGGTTTTATTTTTTCCTTTCCACTTGCTAACATACATGTTTTACTGATTTGTCGTCTTTACTTCTTGCCTGTCTTCCCAACTAGAATATAAGCTACATGATGGCCAGGCGCGCTGGCTGACGCCTGTAATCCCAGCACTTTGGGAGGCCAAGGCGGGCAGATCACCTGAGGTCAGGAGTTCGAGACCAGCCTGGCCAACATGGTGAAACCCTGTCTCTACTAAAAAACAAAAAAAATTAGCCTGATGTGGTGATGGGCTTCTGTAATCTCAGCTACTCAGGAGGCTGAGGCGGAAGGATCCTTTGAACCTGAGAGGCAGAGGTTGCAGTGAGCTGAGCATGCCACTGCACTCCAGCCTGGGCGACAGAGCGAAACTGCTTCACACATACAAAAAAAGAAAGCTATGGCCAGGTGCAGTGGCTCACGCCTATAATCCCAGCACTTGGGAGGCCAAGGTGGGCAGATCACAAAGTCAGGAGATCGAGACCATCCTGGCCAACAAAGTGAAACCCCGTCTCTACTGAAAAAAAAAAAATTAGCCAGGTGTTGTGGCGCACACCTGTAGTCCCAGCTACCCAGGAGGCTGAGGCAGGAGAATCGCCTGAACCCAGGAGGTGGAGGTTGCAGTGAGCCAAGACCATGCCACTGCATTCCAGCCTGACGACAGAGCGAGACTCTGTCTAAAAAAAAAAAAAAAGAAAGAAAGAGATATATGAGGGCTAGACGTTTGGCCTCCGTGCAGCCCCGGTGCCTAGCGTAGCGTCCAGCATCGGTAGGCAGCCAGTGGTGAGCAGTGTTGCCGGGATGGATGCAGACACGTGAGTGAGGGTAGGACTGGCCAGCGTGCCACTGGCTCTGCTTGTGCGTGAGTCGGCGTGTCTGCGGGCAGGGCGTGGAACCGTCCTTGTGGAGGAGGGACAAAGGCAGAGCCAGGCTGTGGCGGTGCCCCCCTCGAGGCATCCCCACGGGCTGGACCATCGTGTGGCTCAGCTGCTTCCCGGCCTGCGGTCGCATCCTGCGATGGGAAGGCAGGATGGATGGCACGGCCCCTCCTCCGTGCACCTTGCCACCATAGGGAGAAGGCATTTTCCAATGGACTCCCACTTCCAGCTCTGGCCGCCCCACCCTCAGCCTGGCCTGCAGACCCTTCGTGGGCCGGCCCCGGCCCCTCCTCATGCAGCAGCGGCCCCTGCCATCCCAGGAACTGGCCGCCAGCTGCCGGCCCTCTGTGCCCTTGCCCCTGCCGTTCCGTGCTCTGCTGATTGAAATGGGGGCGGGAATCAGAGCGGAGCTGCGTGTTGGGGAGCCGGGGCCGTGCTCTCACGCCGCCCGTGTCCTCCTCAGATCCTGGTGAAGTCCATGCTGAGGAAGCGTTCCTTTGGGAATCCGTTTGAACCCCAAGCACGAAGGGAAGAGCGCTCCATGTCTGCTCCAGGGAACTTACTGCTGTGAGTACTGGTGGGCCGAGGCCTCTGGTGCTCCCTGGAGGGCGGTGGGGAGGACGGAGCCCCATCCTCCCTCTCTCACTAGTGCTGGGCTGAGGCCAGAGCCTGGGGACGTGGCTAGGCCTCGGAGTTAGCCCCATTTGCATCTCTGTCCTCAAGGTTAGTCCGGGCTAAAGGGACCTTGGGGGCCCAGCCCCTGCTGCACTCCTGGGGCCAGCATCCCCCACTCACACACTCCCCCTCCATGGACAGGAAGACCCTTCTTCCATCAACCTTGACGTCACACATAGTCCAGGGGGGCTTCAAATCTGTAGCCCCCTCAGCCCTTGGCAGCCTGGCAGAGGTTGGCAGACAGGCTGATGTGGGCTCCCTGTAGGAGGCTGGCAGGCTGTTGAAGGGGCGCTGGCCCCTCTGCCTGGCCCTGTCCTGAGTGGCCCAGGCTGCCTGCACCATCGCTGGGGCTACGTGCTCTGTCAGCACTTTCTAAGTGCTTGTCCAGTAAGTAAGCAGGGACAGGCTGGCCGACGGACCACAAGAGAGGAACCCCCATTTGCTGAGGGCTCCCCACAGTGGACCACGCCTGTGGGTTCACCACCTCCTAGGATGGGTCAGAAAAGCAGCTCCCCAAACCTGTGCGCCTCGGCCTCAGCAGCTCCACCTTCGTCCACTGTAATAAAAGCCGGTCTGGGATGCTAGGAAGGAAGGCATGCTGGAGTTTGTACAGAACCTGCAGAGAGAAACCCGCCCCGGGGTCCTGAACCACAGCGTGGTCCTGGGACCACCACTGCCTTCCTCTGGCCCGGGAGAGAAGCTCTGGGGAAGGGGCTGGCGGAGGCGTTTGCCCCACGAACCCTGGCTTCCCGAGTGGAGCGCTGTCTCCAGGCCTGTCCAGGACTACCACGTTTGTTCCCCATGAGGTCTCCCTCTCGTAAGTGGGCTCTTCAGAAGTGTCGGGCCCCCTCGTAGTGGCCAGGCTGGCATCTGCTCCTGCTGGAGTTTGCTTGTACCCAGAGAGAGGCCCACCCTGAGGTGTGGAGCCTGGGAGGGGCCTGGAGGTCCCACCTGCAGTTTCCTGACATCTCCTGAGTAAGGTGGTTGGGTTGGGGGCGGATTCTCTGAGCTTATGTAGGAAGGTAGGCCCCTAATGCTGGGATTGTGCTTAGTGGCAGGGGGTGGGGGGGCATATATAATTTGATATCCAAATGGGGACATTTTTGATAGTCAAAGAGGAAGCCATTAATAATTAGGCTAGCACGGTGGCTTATGCCTGTAATCCCAGCACTTTGGGAGGCCAAGGCAGGATTGCTTGAGTCCCGGAGTTCATGACCAGCCTGGGCAACATAGCAAGACCCCACAGCTAAAAATAAAAAGTGAAAAATTAGCTGGGTGTGATGGTGCACGCTGGTAGTCCTACCTACTTGGGAGGCTGAGGTGGGAGGATTGCTTGAGTCTGGGAGGTGGAGGCTGCAGGGAGCTGAGATTGCACCACTATACTCCAGCCTGGGTTACAGAGACCCTGTCTCGAAAAAAAAAAAAAGTGGTAATAATTATGCAAGGACAGGTGGAGTCAGGCCTGTGTCCGGCAAACCTGGACACCTGGTCCCTCTGAGTCAGACCCTGTGGTCCAGCACCCCCTAGTGGCAGGTGAAGCCAGACACAGGATAAAGACATTTAGTGCCTAGGTTGTATCTGGCAAACGTGACAAGATACTTTCCAGCTATAAAATTTTATACTCTGTGACCCAAGTTTAATTAAGAGTAGAGCTTTTTTTTTTTTTTTTTTTAATAGAAATGGAGTCAAAAATAAAACAGAAAGAAACAGAGTCTTGCCATGTTACCCAGGCTGCACTTGAACTCCTGGCCTCAAGCCATTTGCCCACCTCGGCCTCCCAAAATGCTGGGATTACAGGCATGAGCCACCACACCCGGCCTCCAGGTTTAACTCTGAAAGCAGATTTCACCTCCTCATCAAGTCCCCGTATTTATCCTTGATAGGCATGTTTTGTTTTTGAGACAGTGTTTCGCTCTTGCTGCCCAAGCTGGAGTACAATGGCGCGACCTTGGCTCACTGCAACCTCTGCCTTCTGCGTTCAAGTGATTCTCCTCCCTCAGCCTCCCTAGTAGCTGGGATTACAGGCACGCACCACCATGCCAGCTAATTTTTGTATTTTTAGTAGAGACAGGGTTTCACCGTGTTGTCCAGGAAGGTCTTGAACTCCTGACCTCAGGCGATCCACCCGTCTCAGCCTCCCAAAGTGCTGGGATTGCAGGCGTGAGCCACCGTACCGGCCATAGACTGTTTTTTACACTTTGGTATAATTGTAGAAACTCTATGGTAGCGTTAAATGGGGTTGGTCCTTTTTAGAGATCTCAAAACCCATTTATTGGTTATTTTAAAAAGAGACATTTTGGGAGGAAAATTAGCAACAGAAATCTATTGAAATGTAACAGAATCCCAAGACTGATAGATGGACTCTGTCCTGTGAACAGGGCAAAGAAAAATGCAAAATGAAGGACCCTCTACCGTTGGCTGAGGTGGACACAGAAGGCCCTCAGGCCAGCACGGTCACACCTATAATCCCAGCACATTAGGAGGCCCAGGTGGGTGGATCACTTGAGCCCAGGAGTTTGAGACCAGCCTGAGCAACCTAGTGAAACCCTGTCTCTATTAAAAAATACAAAAATCAGCTGGGCGTGGTGATGCATGCCTGTAGTTTTAGCTACTCAGGAGGCTGAGGTGGGAGGATCGCTTGAGCCTGGGAGGTGGAGGTTGCAATGAGCCGAGATTGTGCCACTGCACTCCAGCCTGCGCGACAGAGCGAGACCCCATCTCAAAACAACAAAACCACACACACACACGCACAAGGCCCTTGGCCAGGCTGATAGGAGGATGTAGGGAAGTTGGCTGGCTCAGACCGTGAGAGGCTCCGGAGGCTGTGCTGCGAGGTTTAGACTTACTTCATCTCTGGGCAATGGGGAGCCACCAAGGGGTGGCTGAGGCTCGGGGCAGGGAGACCAGCAGGGAGCAGCTGCTGTGATGGAGAGAGGCCAGAGGGAGGCTGAGCATGGGGAGCCGGTGAAGGGGGTTTTGAGAGCCCTTGGGATTCAGAGGCCATCTTCTGACCTGGAGGTCCCTCCATCCCTGGTGTCCCCTGAACAGGAAAGAAGGGTGTGGCGAAGGGGGCAAGAGCCCAGAGCTCCCCGGCGTCCAGGAAGACGAGGCTGCCTCCTGAGCCCCTGCATGCGCCCAGGGCCGCCCGGCAGCACCTCATCCTGCGCCTCCAGAGGCCCGTCGCCCTCATGCCACAGCCGTCCCCTCGGGCAGGGGGCCAGGGACTGCGCCCCTCTCCCGCCCCTCCCCCCATCGTGCTGCATGACCTCCACGCACGCACGTCCAGGGACAGGACTGGAATGTATGTCATTTGGGGTCTTGGGGCAGCACTCCCACGAGGCCTTCCCCCTCCTCCTGGCTGTCCTTGGCCCGACCCATTCTGTGGGGAAACCAGGCACCCATGGAGCTTTAGAAAGCCCACCCGGCTGGTTGGCATGGCCCAGGGCATGAGGCAGAGGCAAGAGACCAATGGTGACCAGTGTTGTCAGGATGGATGGAGACACTCGAGTGAGGGAAGGCAGGTGGAGGCCTGGCGTACTGCAACCGAAGAGACCTCCCGCTGGGCCGGGCCGGCCTGGCTCAGCTGCCACAGGCATACAGTGGGGGGGACCCCGCCCACCTTGGGGTGGTGGCGCCAGGGCTGTGGTCTACTCAGACACTGGTGTGAGGGCCCGGAGCCCGCACTGGGGAGAGGGCCGGCGTTGGAGAATTCAGGTTCCTTTTGTGTTGTCATTTACTTTTGTTTTTAACCTGGGGGTTCGGGGAGGAGGCCTGCTAGGGTGCATCTCACGAGCGTTCCGCCAGCGCTGGTGGCTCCCAGCACACCCACCGTGATGTGGCAGCCGAGCGGACGGAACTAACTTTCCTGGACTGTGTTTTGTATTCGGCATTATCTGGAAAGTGGGCTGAAGGGAGTCAGGCTCTGAGCAGAGGACTGGAGCAGAAGCGCAGCGTCATTCCCGCCCGTCTCCCTCCCTCCCTTGATGGCTCCCCAGAGATGAGGCTGCAGAAGACACCAGGGCCGGCTTTGACTGAGGGCCGGGGACTCGACAGGCCTGTGGGCTTGCACATGCTGAAATGACTGGAACCCAGTCTCTGTCCTACGCTGGCCCACCCATCTGGCCCCAAGAGCTGCACTCACAGCCCTACCGTGAAGGACAAGCTGTCCAGGTTGTAGGGATCACTAGACACACAGCCTGGAGGGGTGTGCGTGCCAGCAGGTGGCCTCTGCGGCAAGGACGTCACCCTGAGGACATCAGCAGTCAGCCTGCTCAGAGCGGGGGTGCTGGAGCGCTCGAGCAGGCACAGCTCTTCCAGAACAGGCTTCACCTTCTCTCTGGGATCGGCGTCTGGCTGGCCGGCTTGGTCTTTGCTGACCAAATGCCCATAGAGGTTGACCCCCCCAGGGAGATCACACAGGACTTGGACATTGCCCTGGAAACATGGGCTGGACAAGGGCTTTTGGGTGCAGGTGTGGGTTTCCTATGGGAGGAGGGCTTGTTTGGAGAAGGGAGGCTGGCTGGGGGAGAAGCCGGCTGCCACCGCATCGCCGTGCCTGTGGGTGTATGTCGCCTCACGCCCACGCATGTGCGTGCCCCTCTGCCGCACGCAACGCACCCGCATGCCTTGCACCGTTCCATGCATCTGTAATGCCGTTTCCACGTCTGTTTCAGGCTGGGAGCAGAATGCGGCCACTTGTCAGTGGGTCTGCGTTTCCCCGGCTCGTCTGTGCTAAGGCAGTGTGGCCCAGGGCTTAGAAAGCCGTTGTTACTGTTTAGAAGAACACTTTTATGGAGTTCATGGAGCAAGTGAAGAGCCAGCCACTGAGCCACAGGGGTTTCTTGAGCATCTCTGTGAGCATCTGGTTTCGGGGGACCGCGCCGATTGGACCCACCCTTGGAAAGCTCGGGGGTGGGCCCAGTTGGGATGTTCACCCCGCCACGGAGGGTTTTGGTTGGCATTGTTTTTGAGGGTAGCACAAGCAATGAGCAAACTCCATAAGAGTGTTTTAAAAATTAACTTCCCAGGAAGTGAGTTAAAAACAATAAAAGCCCTTTCTTGAGTTAAAAAACAAAAGGCTGTGTGTACATTTTCTGTATCTGGATATGTGCTCTTTCTCAGCAGCGGAGCAGCACTTTGTTGGGTTTTCTGGAAGCATCTGAGACACCCTAAGTCCCTAGCAGGACAGTGATGAGAGAAGAGGGAAGGGAGGGGCTGGCTCAGCGGGCAATGGGGCTGCAGTCCAGGGAACAACTGAGGCTCCTGGGTTGTCCGTGGCCGCTCCTTGGGAAGAACTCCCTGTTTCACAGAGGCTCAGGGGGCCAAGGTCTGGGCCAGGTGGGAGCCACAGCCGCTTCCCTTGGGGCAGAGGTCCCTGTGGTGTTATAGGAGTTCCTGTGACATCAGTCCTCTGTCCTCCCATCCCCATTTAGCCTTGGACACTGGTACAGACTTTAGGACCCTGCACCTCTGTTCCCATGGCACGGCTCTCCAGGGCAGTGATGAAAAGAGTCATTATCGAGGTCAGACAGCCCGGAGCTGGAATCCAAGCTTTGCTACTTAAAAATCGTGACCGGCCAGGCGCGGTGGTTCACACCTTAATCCCAGCACTTTGGGAGGCCGAGGTGGGTGGATCACCTGAGGTCAGGAGTTCGAGACCAGCCTGGCCAACATAGTAAAACCCTGTCTCTAATGAAAATACAAAAATTAGTCAGGCTTGGTGGCGCATGCCTGTAATGCCAGCTACTTGGGAGGCTGAGGCAGGAGAATCGTTTGAGCCTAGGAGGCAGAGGTTGCAGTAAGCTGAGATTTTCCATTGCACTTCAGCCTGGGCAGCAGAATGAGACTCCCTCTCAAAAAAAAAAAAAAAGAAAGAAATTGTGTTACCTTTGGCAAGTCATTGGAGGAGCCTGCCTCAGTTCCCGTATTGGTATAATGGGAATGCTCCTGTGGGTTGTTTTTTGTTTTGTTTTGTTTTTTCGGAGACTCGCTCTGTTGCCCAGGCTGGAGTGCAATGGCGAGATCTCGGCTCACTGCAACCTCCGCCTCTTGGGTTCAAGCGATTCTCCTGCCTCAGCCTCTCGAATAGCTGGGACTTCAGGCACCTGCCACCACATCTGGCTAATTTTTTTGTATTTTTAGTTGAGGTGGAGTTTCGCCATGTTAGCCAGGCTGCTCTCTAGCTCCTGACCTCAGGTGATCCGCCCACCTCTGCCTCCTAAAGTGCTGGGATTACAAGCGTGAGCCACTGAGCCTGCCTCCCATGGGGTCTGAATGCAAAAAATGCAAACTTTCTTCTGCTCTCACCCCACAACAATGAACACAGAAGACTTCTGTGACCAACTGTGTGACTTCCTCCCCTCCCCCGTACACCAGGCCACCAGTTCTGGAGCAGATGCCGGCTGGGTGTCTTCTGATTCAACTCTGACACTGTGGACTTGGAAACAGATCATGCAGGTTGGGGACACAGTCCCACAAGACAGTCCCTCCATCAGACACCAGTCACAAATCCAAGCCTCTGGAGTTTCTGTCCCACCAGCTTCCAGCCGGCGTCCCCACAACCCTCTTTGGGTTTGATTAATTTTCTGGAGTAGCTCACAGAATTCACAGAAACACATTTACCGGTTTATTATAAAGGATTTGGCAAAGGATATGGGTGAAGAGATGCCCAGGGCAAAGGATGGGGGAGGGGTGGAGAGCGTCCATGCCCCCTGCCCCAGGATACCACCCTCCAGACACCTCCACGTGTTCACTCTCCAGAAGCTCCCAAATCCTGTCCTTCTGGATTTTTGTGGAGGTTTCAATGCCTAGGCTTGATTGATTAAATCATTAGCCATTGGTGATCAACTTAACCTTCAGCCACTCCTCCCCAGAGGTAGCGGGGCGGAAAGTCCCAACCCTCTAATCCTGCCTGGGTCTTTGTGGTGATCAGACCCCATCCTGAAGCTACCTATGGGCTGCTGGCCACCAGTCAATTCATTACCAAAGGGGAAAAAAAAAGTGATCCCTTTGGAGAGGCTAAGGATTTTAGGAGTCCTATGCCGGGAAATGGGGTCGAAAACCAAATGTGTTTCACGGCATCTCAGGCTCTCGTGACAGTAAATGAAGTCCTTGTACCAAGCGCCTGGTGCAGTGCTCAGCACGTGGTAACCACTCAGCAAATGACACCCTTAAAAGGAAACACCTTTCTGCCTCCAGGCTGCCCGGACCCAGCCCTGGGGGTCACGGGCTCAGCATGTCCTACATGCCTAGTATGAACCCAGCTGGGGAGCTTCCCTCCGGGTGAAGCATGAGGTTCCGCAGAGCTGCTGAAGGCCAGGAGGGAGACCACGCTACAGGCTGCCCAGCGTGGTGATCGGGTTTTCCATCTGAGAAACAGACCAGAGCTGCTACTCCTGCCTGCTGGTGGTCCTGCAAAGCTCCTGTGAAGGGCTGCACCACGCCCTCTCCAGAAGGGCTGCTGGTGGCCAGAAGCTCCCCAGACACCAAGACCAATAAGCCCATCTTGTTCCCACTTCCTCCTCACCACAGGAGCCCCTCACACACAGCCCTTGCCATCTCTCGGCTCCTCACTGGTCTCCTATCCTAGCCGTGGTCCTTGGTACTCTAGCCCATGCCCTCCCTGGCTGCCCAAGTGATCTTTCTTTCTTTTCTTTTCTTTCTTTTTTTTTTTTTTGAGACGGAGTTTCGCTCTGTTGCCCAGGCTGGAGTGCAATGGCACGATCTCCGCTCACTGCAACCTCTGCCTCCTAGGTTCAAGCGATTCTCCTGCCGCAGCCTCCTGAGTAGCTGGCATTACAAGCGCCTGCCTCCACACCAGGCTAATTTTTGTATTTTTAGTAGAGACGCGGTTTCGCCATGTTGGCCAGGCTGATCTCGAACTCCTGACCTCAAGTCATTTACCCGCCTCGGCCTCCCAAAGTTCTGGGATTACAGGCGTGAGCCACCACGCCCAGCCGATATAAACCAAATTTCTGTCCCCCTTCTTTCTGAAGGCCACTGTCCCACAGACCAGGGTAGTATTCCTCTCAGATGCCCTCTGCATGGATGGGCTCCTTGGTCCCAGCTACCGTCTGACTTACTGTGTCCCATTGCCAGCAGGACTGGTCAGGATTTGTCCTAGCTGTGGTCCCTGAGGTTGGCGAATGGTCTCTGCACTCTGATTCCCAGAGCTTTGGTTTCCCTGACACACGCACACGCACACACACACACACACACACACACACGTGGCACACAGGTCTACACTGAGGAATGGAACCAGATCGATGCAGAATTACAGCACAGGAGGGCCCTGGCTAAACTTCTCACTGGGTCCCCACCAGCCTCCAGGAGAGATCATGCCTAAGGCATCGGAACTTTCACAAGGACGAGATGCTCCATGCCCTCAGGCACTCCCGCTCCTTTAAGGCAATCTTTGCCAATATCCATTTACCTCCCTGGGAAACCCACTCCCCGCAGCAGTCTGCTTGCCCCCCCTACTCTACCCCCCCCACCCCTCATTCCCCATTCAGTCTGAAAGGTTGTTCTAAAATCTCCTAGGGAGCTTTTAAAAAAAATCCTCATGCCTAGGTCCCACCTTCAGAGATTCTGGTTCAAACGGTCAAGGATGTCATCTGGGTGTCAGGATTTTTTTCGGCCGGGTGCTGTGGCTCATGCCTGTAATCCCAGCACTTTGGGAGGCTGAGGTGGGTGGATCACTTGAAGTCAGGAGTTCAAAACCAGCCTGGCCAACATGGTGAATTCCTGTCTCTACTAAAAATTAGCTGGGCATGGCGGTGGGCGCCTGTAATCCCAGCTACTTGGGAGGCTGAGGCAGGAGAAATACTTGAACCCAGAGGTGGAGGTTGCAGTAAGCTGGAACTGCGCTACTGAACTCCACTGTGGATGACAGAGCAAGTCTCTATCTAAAAAAAAAAAAAAAACTTAAAAAATTATTTTAGCAGTTTTAGGTTTTTAGAAAAATTGAGCAGAAGGTACAGACAGGGCTGGGTGTAGTGGCTCACGCCAAGGCAGGCAGATCACTTGAGATCAGGAGTTTGTGACGAGACTGGCCAACACAGTGAAACCCTGTCTCTAACAAAAATATAGAAATTAGCCAGGTGTGGTGCGTGCCTGTAATCCCAGCTACTCAGGAGGCTGAGGCAGGAGAATTGCTTGAACCTAGGAGGCGGAGGTTGCAGTGAGCCGAGATCACGCCACTGCATGCCCGCCTGGGCGACAGTGAGACCCTGCCACTAAAAAAAAAGAAAAGAGAGAAGAGAAGGGAAGAAAGAGAGAAGGAAAAAAGAGAGAAAGAGAAAGGAAGCAGGAAAGCAGCCAGTTCCCATATATCTCCTCTACCTCTACCTCCTGCCCCCCAATTTCGCTTATTATTAACATCTTGCATTGAGGTGCATTTGCTACAATTTATGAACCAATGCTGATACACTGTTATTAACTAGAGTCCACAGGTTAATTGCTACAATTTATAAGCCAATATTGATACACTATTACTAACTGAAGTCTGCAGATTACATTAGGACTCACTGAGTTGTACTATTCTATGGGTTTTAACAAACGTATAATACCATGTATTTACCATTACAGCGTCACAGGGAATAGTTTCACTGCCCTGGAAGTCCTGCCCTTTTCATCCCTCCTGCTCCCTCCTCCCTTTGATAACCACTGATCTTTTTACTGTCTCCATAGATTTGCCCTTTCTGGAACATCATATGTTGAAATCTTTTTTTTTTTTTAAAGATGGCGTTTCACCATGTTGGTCATGGCTGGTCTTGAACTCCCGACCTCAGGTGATCTGCCCGCCTTGGCCTCCAAAGTGCTTGGATTACAGTCATGAGCCACTACGCCCGGCCCATATGTTGAAATCATACAGGACGTAACCTTTTTAGCTCCCCAGATGGATTTTTGTTGTTGTTGTTTTGAGATGCAGTCTTGCTCTGTCACCAGGCTGGAGTGCAGTGGCATCATCTTGGCTCACTGCAACCTCCACCTCCTGGGTTCAAGCAAGTCTCCTGCTCAGCCTCCCAAGTAGCTGGGATTATAGGCACCTGCCACCACACTCGCCTGATTTTT